GAACTGTAAGGTCAACCTAAGAAAACAGACACAAACCCGAAAGAGGTGTAAACGCCTCACGCAACGACGACCAAAACTTTCTTTAACTGCTGTAGTTTATCAGCGCGATAATTGAAATTAATTTTATGGCCACCTCGATTAAGTATAAGCATCTGCATTGTTGGGCAACCAAACATAAAAGATGCAGACAACAGAAAATATCTTTCAACTTACAAAATACAGTTCAGTCGATCCATTATGGCTAAATAATTTTACAAAAGGTTTACACACACTAACCATAGGTCACTGAACTTAGTAACAATGCACGACAGTCATGAACTACGAAGTGGGGACAAATTCAAGCATTACAAGAAATAGTAATTTACAAGAGAAAATGAAATGTTGCAAATGGATCAAGAAACGCGATGAATAAACGGGTTCACTCTGATTTTTGACTATACAACTAAAAGCGTTTACGCAAGTCACTTGTTAAAAACAATTTCTGAATATAAGAATAGCCCAGCGAAGTCTGGCTTAGAAGACATAAGGGTGTGCACTTGCAGTAAACTAACAAATGAACCTACAAACAAGCCAAAATACACAGACGGTTATTGGCAGCAAAGATAAAAATATGGAAACTTGTGTTTGAGGATAAGTAGCTCTAAAACTGTGCCGTGCTGGCGCGTACCAACTACTTGGGGATTATGGGATACTTGGGGGCTTGCCGAGGAAGTATCTCAAAGGATACGCCGCCATATGTAGATTAGTGAGCAACTGTAAGTTCTGGAATATCCTGCCACCATAAGTCAGATACGGCCCAGCTGGCCAATCTAGCCAGATGTGGCTACGGTGTGGTATTCAACGCGACAGCCACAAATCTCTATACTACCCGAAGAAGCCCGCGAGGCGGCTTCGACTTCGTTCGTTCTCACCTCATTCTCCCTCGATGTTTTAGTTTCCAGTGCACTATTTGGTGTCTATCGGCTATCGTAATACCTTTGCGTGTGGCAACGTCTGAGCGGTAAATCAGCCATCATCCATGTAGGTACACAAGCAGACATCCGACGTAGCACAAAATTTATCACGCGACACACGACAGTGGACAGAAAAATGTTAGAAACGACGGTGAACAAAGCATGCGCAAAGGAAGTTTTTGCAAAAAATATTTACAAAAATGCAGTCCTCCAACGCGGGGAACGGTAGGACTTTTGCGTTCAGCCTTATAGTAACATCAGTGAGTTTCTCGCGTTTTCAACATATGCAAGGCACATGAGCAAAGTACTAAAAAAATAATAAATTTCCTTCTAACCTAAGTGGGTTAGTGCTCCGCTAATTCCGATTGTGCCAGCATTCATTGCAGTAATGCAAGTGGTGACAGTTAACGTGTCGAATGCGCACGAAACAAAAAATGGATGAGAGATAGAAATTTACCTATGGTCCATGTATAAAAGAATAAAATGCTGAGTTAAAATTACACTTCGCAATCTCCTAGAGATCTTTCCCTCACAAGCAAAAAATAGGACTTCCACGGGCCTCATCCCTATAGGGAATTGAATGAAACCAATAAAGATTTAAACGATTAAGCCAATTTAATCTAGAAAAACGGTGCTTATGTGTTTGTCTAATATGGAACTCCATAAAATGTGAAAAGAAACTCAACAGAAAATAATAATATACTTTAAATATCTCACGTTCAGCAGCTCGAGCACACGCAAACGGTAATAAAATTAAGTATACTTAACTAATAAAAATATGCCTGTAACTTAAGTTGGCTAAACAAGCCTTCGAGCGACAAATTAAAAAAAACAGAACCATTTTTATACTTAAAGGAAGTGTACAACTGTCCACTTACATCAATTCCTTTTGATAGAAATCCTCGATTGTTGGGTCGTATGTGTCGACAAATTTTCCCAAGACATATTTTACAGTTAAGGCACTCTTTCCGACACCCCCACTGCCAAGAACCACAACTGTGTACTCGTTTCGCATATTAAAAGGTGAAGATGTAATAAAAAATTTCGTCAGGACCTGTAAATCCTACGGCACCCGAACATCTCTGTCTGTTGAAATGCACACAAATTTGATTAGCTTTCAAGGTTGTACCCGACAAAGAATAAACCTTGTGCTCAATTTAAACAATAAGACCTGCAGAATTGAGTCCTCTGTGATAATTAAGCTTATAAAATTTGTTTTAGGTTTTATACAATAACACACTAATCAGGAAATTCATTCAGGCTACTGAACGAAGCAGATATGTAATGGCTTTCACCTAATAATTGGAAAAATCATATACCCTGACTGAGCATCACGCTCAGGTGCATGGCTCCAAGCGAATGGCGTAACGGTCGCATTAATCTAGACAGGCTTCTTTTTCGTTTTACATGCTTTCTTATACCTCTCTAATCAAGTGAATTCATATTGTTGAAGATGATTATGCTATACGTTGAACAATACATAGGCAATGATATAGGGTGGCTTAGTCGGTGTCAGTCACACCCTGTGTATTTGAGGAAAAGAGACTCATATCTTAAACTTCCTACTTTTCATGTCGAAACCTTAAGATTTAAGGAAAATGAATAACGGTCAGATGAAAGTAGACAGGGTCATATGAAGTCGGTTTCATGCTACGAGTGCTGGATATAGTAATTCGTTTTCAAAATTCCATCGTCTGTTAAAAATCAAACTTTTTTCTCGTTCTGTTTGACTTCGCATTTTTGAATATTTTGTGGTGGTTTTTTCAGCAACATTTTTAACACAGCCTTCCCTGCTGAGTCTGCATTAGATGCAAGAACTCTTCAGTAAAAAGAGTCCAGCCCCGGAGAAGAGAATCCTAGTGAACCTCAGCTCGAGATGTCCCAGCTATTATTTGACAAATATCTCGCGGCCACATATAAGACTTCGTTTAGTTTATTGTAGACGGTACAAAATATAGAATTTAATTTTTTGAAAGTACTGTGTGATCACTTCGGCCAAGGGG